GTGTGTGTGTGTGTGTGTAAACAGTTTTATATGTATGTACATATCGTCTACATAATTGTACCCATTAAAAGATATAGCTAATCTTATAAACTATAAGACTAAAAAGGTTTAAAACTCTTTATTTTCATTTTGACTATGTATAGACCAGATTATTTAAAGATAATGTAGCGTTTTACACACTACGAAGACTGCCTACACACAAGTAAGGTGTTTTTCAGTATGTTACCCCAGAAGCCGGAGTTAAAAACTGGTATGTTGTATTTTAGTTACCTACACGTCTAAAAGTGAAACGGCTATGAGCGTAGACAATAAGCTGCAGCTCTCTTTTGTGGGGCTCGAGTTGTTAAGTCTAGCACATGCTCTATATGCGGTTCTCTGCAGCGTCGCCTGATTAATGTCTTCGTGCTACACGCAGTTTAAAGGCCTGATAAGTACAACCGTACGCCTTGTATTAACTTACGTAAGCATTGCCCTGTGTTATTACAATGTGTTTGTTAAGCATTCAGATAAAAAAATTATATTTAGCTTAAATAATTTTATTCGAATGAGATGGTTGGACGGATGAATAACTATCAACTTAACACTTTAATAAGTTTACTCTCCAAAATAAAAGTAATAAAATATTTAAATATCTACAGATGTAAGTAGTTAATTTCGTTACAGGCGATGTATTTGTTGTCAATTTTCGAATTACACCGAAAACAAATGTGTAATCAAACAAATTAATACAAATTAATTTAAATAATAGTTATTGACATAGTTTGGCGATTAAGACGATAAGACTAGACAACACTACCCTTACGCCTGGTTTCTGAAACACTTTTCATCGTAGAAATTAATTAATCAGCTGTCAAATGGCTTCCTAAATGTCATTTGCGTTGCCCAAAGGATGGTTAAACTCTTTGAATTGATCATTCTGATCGTTCGATTCAACTTTTACTTATTTAACAATGGGTGCACCTGCTCCTAATTAGAAAAATATTCTTAATGAGTGTAACTTTTTACAATAAAGCGAAGGACGCATAAAGTAAAAAGTTTTATGTTTTTTTTTATAATAAGCATCTTCTCATTCGACAGGAACTATGTAGACGTCATCCAGTTTAATCGCCATTACTTAACAGTAAGTTTTCTTAACGTCGATAGCATTCAAGCACGTCTCAAGGTCCACTAGTAGCGATTTCCATCCCGACATTGACCCGAGCTGCCGATCCGTGTGACATTGCGTTGCCTTTTTTGACAAGCAATCCGTATTTTCTACCAGCTTATTTAATCCTTTTATCCTATTTCAATTCTCTATACACTTATTTTAGCTTAACCATGTAATGGTGCCATTCAAAATTATATCCCGTTTTACAATTATATGTTCATTCCACCCATAATTAAGGCACTGACCGTAAGATTATCAGGATATCATTCATACATGGTACACGAGTTATTGTGTATAGCAGTAACACGAGTTGTTGAGTGTAAACGTAAATTTAATGCTGTTGCGATAAACTGCCTCGTCATGTGTGATTGGTAAGCGTTTATAATCGATGCATAGCTGTTAGACAAACACTCAACTATTCATACCAGTACTTTTCTCAGACAAAAATTAAAATTTCTGTAATATAATGAATTTTAATACGTGCAGTATTCCAACGACAGTTTCTTATATTCATTTAGAGCAGCTGGCTGTTTCTTTCTTTACACAGCTCAATAAATATTAAACGCGTCGCTGACGGAACGCAGTGTAGACGACAAAATGTGGAAAGTTAATATACGTATCTATCATACGATAATTCATTGTTAAGTTCGTCGGTGCATAAAATTTCAATTGATCGTTTACCTTCCTATTACATGCAACCATAATAATAATTATAGGGAGCAACTTGTATCATTAGAAGGGAAGAAATTCTTCCAACTCCAAATGGAGATAAAGTTTTATATAAATATAAAATATTAAGAAAATAATTTAACTTTAAATTTAATTTTCATAGCACTAATTATTTTTTGTTGACTTTTACTAGTATTTTTACTAAAATTTATTTCACATGACTAATATTCTAAAATTAGCAAATTCCAATTTCTAAACTATAATCTACAACTGGTTAAAATCCTAAGATTTTGTACGTAAATAATTCTTAGTTTCCATGTATAATAACGTTATGGACAAAATGGCGTAGATTGTGAAGTAAAAGTTAGCGTTATGCTTTTAACCCTGAATTGTAAATGTTATATTTTGGACTGGGGCGTTATTTGCGTATTGAAACTAATTGCCAAATTGCCGAATAGCATGCAAAATGTTCTACGGTCTACCTTAGTTTACATTTTTGTACTTCTAATTTTGTAGAGAAATAAATAATTAAATCGCTAAATGATTAATGGACGCCTTGAGCGAATTTATAACCAAAGTAGCAATTCTCCCGTACTGAGTAACGGTTTAGTAGTGTTCTTGACCAACAAGTTAAGCAACTATGTATATACATGTATACGAGCATGTTGATAATGTTTGTGCATGAGCATAAGTGGTTGCGGAAGCTACGACCGAGGTTTCAGATCGATGAAAATTAAATTCCATAGGAATGTTCATTGACCAAATCATCTTTCTGTGACGTACTAAATTTGGTTATAGTACGCAACGGGGAGTTTTAATTAATGTGTAAGAGAGTAAAAGAGAAAAGAGAAAACAATTTTCATTGCCATTATAAGTTGTATCTAACTTACGATCCAAGACGTAAGCTTTATTTATGTCTTTATGTAAAAGCAGCGGACATTTGCTGTAAAGCGCCTTATCTGCATCGCTTTCGCATTTCTGTAACGGCCCACCGCTTTGAATTGCAAATGTGGCATTTATCACTTGTCTGTATTTCATAATGGCGACTTAACTGTGGGATGTCACCTAGCAAATATTTTCTTAAGATACTATCCGACCCGACTTTGCACGCTTTGGCCAATCTAATTTACTTTAAATTTATTTAATTAAAGCACTACGTCAATATATACCCAATGTTAATAGAAAAGTAAAATAATACTTATATTGTAAATATAATATTTAATATCATATTAACATTAATAACGTTACATGGCGACTGTCAATTTTGTAAACATTTTCTGGCCGAATACAGTTACTAAGAGTTCTAGAAAAAGAGAATAACTTTTATTTAAGAATAAATAAAAAAGTTTGTTTTGTTAAAAAAATTAAATCCTTTTACTACTTGATTGGTTAACTTATAATCTAATCTGTGTTAAAGTTTAATGTATAAAACTGTATGTAAATACGTTCGTATGGTTGTATAATTTAGAAAAATGCTTATTCCTCACCCGTGGGATGGTGACAATGGCGTGCCACTTCGCGTGTGGCCAATCAAAAGTTTGACAATAAAAAAATATTTATAGTGTTGTTTTCGAGTGTATCTGAAAGATTTTAAATAAATCAAGAGCACAGTGACGGCAGAGATGTATCTCAAGTAACTTTATAAATAAAATTGTTTATTCTTTGCACAAAAATGTATATCGCATACCATCTTTGTATTTTATAAACGAAAAGTGGAGGTATTATAATAATCTATTCAAAACTAATTTGTTACACAAATGTGTAATGTGCCGGGCGTAGGCCCGTGACTTTTTTATGGTCGATCGGTATCTCGTAACTTGACTATTTAATTGACAACATTCACAACTTGTCGCTTCGAATAACCCGTTCGATTGCAGTTGTAATTGTCGCAATAATCTGATCGCCTGATTAGGGAACGGCGTCGCGAACTCGCAACTACGTTTTGAGCGAATCAACATTTGCTGGTTTCTTCGCCTGTCCCGTAAGTGTTCCAATTAATCAAAAAACATTACACTGTATGTCTTATCTATCTTAGCTCTCCTTATTTTCAATTTAATTGAAAATGGTTTAGCTGCTGCGTTAATAATGTTCGCGCCAAACTTTGTTAGTTTCTAATTGTATTACTACAGGTCATTGTGAATTATCCGTATAATCTAAAATTTTGAGAAATGGTAGTAGAATTTTGCTTTATCGGACCGTAAACTATTTTTCGATATTGCGATTAATCTCGCACTGTGCAATGTATTCTGCGTCCATCTTCGCACAGCGCCTATTTCGGCGTAGCTCCCGCCTGGCAAAGTTATTGTTAGACCGGCTCTTGTGCCGTTTCATTTGTACGATACGTTCTTTATGCATAAAAATCCTTTTGGTATTTAGCATTCTTTGTTTACTTTCCAATGAATAAAAACGTACTATACAAAATAATGATGTTACTTTAAGAGTAAAAATATCCTGTTTCCCCAGTAATGTTTCCCGCTTGTGTTTTGATTGTGTGTGATGATAGCTTAAAGTTAGGTATGGGGATTAATAAGCAATAAAAGTTGTTAAGATTTATATAGTTCATTTAGGCCGTGGTCCACATCCTGTAGCTAAACTGATATTGTTGCTGTGTCTGCTGCTGTTAAATTGGCCAGACAGTTACTCCACACAAGTACTGGGGCCGTAAAGATTTGGATATTCCCTAATGCCTTCGTACAGCAATGAACCATCAACACCGCAAACGCCCATCGGGATAGTTTCAAAACTTACCCAAACATATTCATTTGTTATCTGTATCGTGAAATATGGCTAAGAAATAATAAATCCATACATTATAAAACCGATAAGAAAGAACTTGAATACCATATTCTTGCCGAACTCACATCTAATGTTGAACAACTTTATATTCCCTTTTCGATTCGATGAGTTATCGACGTACAGATGACAAGGGAACTGGAAGACGGATCGCTTAACTTTCATGGTCTTTCAAAACGTTGCTACGATAAATTTTATGCTAACGATAAGTAAAAAATTATGTTATTGGTAATATTGTTACAAATGTTTATGATGTAGGGGTCGGAAAGATGAGATAATATGCAATAAGTGTCGATTTATTTACCGGCAAAGAAGCTGTTTGCCGGTTTAGAAGAAATTAATACGAACCACGTGTACACCGGAGATTATGGGATTATACGTTTCTGACCGAATGGAGCGCGGCGGAGTTCACGGGCGAGTAGTTCCATCGCGACTTGCAATTGTTCGAATGCGACGCGCATCCGAGCAAATGGCTTACATCTTATGTTCGTTGGCGCTGCCTCAGATGGCTACGTTTTGCGAATGCGTATATCGACCAAAAGAGTTTTTTAAATCCTTTCCGTATAAGATAATAACATCCCGGCAGATCACATTGACTTCGACACAACACTTTGTCAACTTATCCGATTCTGTGATAAGTAAAAATAAATGGTAACACATTTTAAGCTTAATGATAAATGACCTAATTTCTCTCACCATACATAGTGTGTACACACTGAAAATTAATATTTGTCGAAGTTTTTGTTTAACTTCATTCCAGTGTAGCACTAAAAAGAAAGAGTTATAAATAAAGCCAGTATTTAGAATGTCTCATAAAATTATTCTATGCAATTTCGTAAGCGTACTGCATAAAACCGACCTGAACATCTCCTTGAGTGTGCGCGACGGTTAGCGCTGCCTAATTAAACGAAACGAATGGCTCATCACATGCGAAGTCGATTTATAAATTTCGTTGACATAAAATTTATACATATATGTGTGACGACCTGTGCAAGTGTGCAGAAAGTCGATGGATGCGGTGGCTAAGGATCGTGCTTCGTGGCAGTCTGTGGGGGAGGCCATGTTCAGCAGTGGACTCAAACAGGCTGCAATGATGATGATGATGATAAAAATCTATACATATAAGAAAATTGTGACCGGGCGATGACTGTACATTACCTAATAGTAAAAGGGGTGCACTATTGTATTTTATTGAGTAGAAATTTCACACAATAGTCTCTCTTTCTCTCTATCTTGTATATATGTAACGTCGTGGTGGGCAGAATAAAAGACGTTTCGCAACTCACTAATTTATTGACTATTTTTAAATATTACTTGTAACTTGTAGTTGTATACGTCTTGTGATGCCGTCTTTCTGCTCAACTCATCCCTCCCATTTCCTCTCATACATCCATCTCCTATCAAATCAGTCATTCATGCATCTCAATCTTATTTATCTAACATTCTTTTTCGTTCAGAAACCACAGAAAACGGAAACATTACTGTTACTATTTTTATTGTTGATTTAATCAAGTTTCCGTCGCCACTTTGCTAGCCAATAACGCCCTTTTCCAGACAGATTATACTTCGCAACCCTGAAGACTGGCTACAAACCGAAACCGACACGAAACAGCAAATATTTCCACATCGAGGATGAGATCGTCTACGAGAATTTCTATTTCGACTTCGGGCCCTATCACCTGTGCCACTTGTATCAGTTCTGCACCAAGCTCAACGAGGAACTGGAGAAAAACCCGAAGAAGAAGATCGTCTTCTACACGAGTAACAACGAGACCCTCAGGCTTAATGCCGCCTACCTCATTGGAAGTTATCAGGTATTTTCCTGTAATACCAGTTACTCTTAACTCCTAAATATTAAATGTTAATTCTGCTCTATTTATTATATTGGTAACGGGTTTATTTTTTTATTACTACTTAAAAATAGCGTCTTGTTATTGTAATGTCATTTTCTTCTTTTTAAACAAAAAATTATAATATTTGTACGGTTCTCATCTATGCGCTCTTAAACCATTCCTCTAATTGTAGATAATTACACTTTAGGTAACTCTTCTGCTAACTCTAAAGAAAATTTTTCTTTCCAAATTCCGGTACTGAACTTGTTCCATGAACAATTTTTTTTTGTTCCATGAACAATTTTTCATTTATAATAACAGATTTGCATGTGCAATGTTTTTAATTTCTCACAAGCTGTTGAAACCACCTCAATGGCGATTAAATCTTCTAACATTGTGTACGAGTGAAAAAAACATATTAATATTTTTGTGTTACGACTTTCAATGAATTGCGCTTACTGTGTTACGTTTCGTAACCTGACCATGTCTATTTTTTTAAAAGGTGCCAATGCATCGGCAACCCTATGGGTGTTGTAGATTTCTATGGACGGCGGTTATCACTTAACATGAGCTGTACCGCCAGCTCGCTAGCAGTCACGTAGACTGCCGACAAAAGTGAAAAATTAAAACTGAAATAACTGTGCTTGTGAATAATTAAAATCACAAAACACTAATTTAAACTGCACAAGACCAATTTTATCTCTTTCCAATAAACGATAATTTTGGGTAATTCTTTGTTTATAAAAACTAATGAATTATAAATATTATCGAAAAACTAGGAATTTGTTTTAAACAGCTCTAATATTAGAAAACCAAAAGTGAATACCGCCGCCCGTGGACATCTGCTACACCCGAGGGTTGTATTATAGATGCGTTGACAACCTTTTGAAAATTGGGCTCACTCACCATACGAAACGCGAAAGTATTTATCATAGTTCCACTTCACGCCAGTCTTCTGGAGGTCGTGGCAGTAACCCGAACTAGCCTGCCCGCTCGTGCAACATCAGAGTCTGGTGCGTGGCCCTGCCACAGTAGGGAGTGCAAGGGAATCGTCGTTTCCAGATAATATACCTGGGCGGGTCACCAGCGGCCGTGTACAAACAGCTGACGGCGGGCAGCGATTGGTCACTGCTGAGCTTCCGCGACGCGTCCGGTGGTCCGCCGCTCTTCGACATCTCCCTACTGGACGTGCTCCACGGCCTGAAGGTGGCACACGACGCCCGCTTCTTCGACTTCCAGCACTTCGACGCCGAACAGTACCTGTTCTACGAGGTGGGTCTTTTAGTGACGCTCTCTCGGTCATTTTGCAGTGTTATTGCATATCTTTGTGACCTTTTTTGCACCGTTGAAATGTTCTATAGCCGGTTTTCGGTTTCTATTTCTCGTTTTGTAAAACTGGAAACTCTATTGCATCGCTGTAGTATGTCTATCGAAGCGGCCTTTGCTCAGGAACACCCGTTCCTAAGAGAATATCAGAAATATCATGTTTCTCCCAGAGATGTGAAGTTGACATTTACAGAATACAAATATTAAGATCTTAAACATCATCGTAGGTTGATTCGTAGTAATTGCCTGTAGGTATTGAATGCAGGACATATTTTACATAACTTATTTTTTTAAAACATTGCCCTTACTTTACGGTGTTAGAGCCACGCAGCAGCCTCGGCTGTTGCACGAATGGGCAGGCCCGAACCCACGACCCTCGACGCTGAAGCTGAGGCCTTGGCAACTGCGCCCCGGAGTACTACGTTATATTCCCAATCATATTTTAATTAAATCCCTTGCAATTATGGGTAAAAATTGGTGACAACGAATTTAAAAAAAAAAAAAATAACCACCGTCACCACCAGAAAGTGGAGAACGGCGACCTGAACTGGATAGTGCCGGGCAAGATGCTCGCGTTCTCGGGGCCGCACCACCGGTCGCGCTTGGACCGCGGCTACCCGCTGCACAGTCCGGAGCACTACCACCGCTACTTCCGCGACCACCGCGTCACCACGGTCGTGCGCCTCAACAAGAAGTCGTACGACGCGCGCCAGTTCACCGCGCACGGGTTCGAGCACCGCGAGCTGTTCTTCGTGGACGGCTCCGTGCCGTCGGACCTGATCGTGAACAGGTTCATCAGGATCGCGGAGGTCGCCAAGGGCGCGGTGGCCGTCCACTGCAAAGGTGAGCGGAGCTTTTGTGAGAAGCCGTCAAGCGAGCGGACGGTTCACCTGATGTTAAGTGAGCACCGCCGCCCATGGACGTCCGCTACACCCGTTTGCAGATGCGTTGACGACCTTTTGAAAAGTGGGCCGTTCGACGGACGGCCTTTCGTCATATATCAGCCGTAGGACGTCCACCGCTGAACGTAGGCCTCCCCCATTGACTTCCACTTCGACCGGTCGCTAGCGGCCTGCATGCAACGCGTCGCTGCGATCTTGGCTAGGTCGTCCGTCCACCTTGTGGGAGGCCTTCCTACGCTGCGCTCGCCGTCACGTGGTCTCCACTCGAGAAATAAATTCGTAACTTTCATAACGACCCGTTGTAACGACTTCATAATGACAATGTAACTAATTTTCGTTATAAAATGTTCGTTGAATATGGGAACCGGGCTTTAGGACACTTGTTTCGGCTTCGACGATACGAAAGCGAGGTTGGCCGACGCACACGCATAGTTTTTATGTGAAACTGGCTGCTGCCCGCGACTACGTCTGCTTAGAATAGGCTGAAGGAATTCAGACAGAGAGACAGATATACGTAAAATATGTATATAAATTGCAGCCTATGTGTTATTCGATGTATATGCTAAATTATTGTAATTTCATTAAAATCTATACAGTAGCTTTTGCGTGAAAAAGTAACAAACATCCATCCATATATACAAACTTTCGCGTTTATAATATTAGTTAGGATGTTGACAACAAATAAACGGTTCGATTGATGTTAACCTTTTCATCGAACTTCTGATGTATAAGCTATATTATTGTAGTTTCATTAAAATCTATACAGTAGTTTTTGCGTGAAAAAGTAACAAACATCCATCCATATATACAAACTTTCGCGTTTATAATATTAGTAAGGATGTTGACAACAAACAAACGGTTCGATTGATGTTAACCTTTTCATCGAGCTAACATAGTGACTCTTTATGGCGCTGGACTAGCTTACCGCTCGCCGGAAACGCAAAATAATAAACGCATAAACACATTTACTTAACATCCGTCTTTACAGACTGCCTATGCGTAATTCCGCAGTTACACGTTTTTGATTGTGAGCTTTTTTATGCTAAAAGTTGACAAGCGATCAGGCTCCTCCTGATGTTAAGCGATTGCCGCCGCCCATGGATATCTAAGAAACCCGACGGGTTGCAGATGCGTTGTCAACTACTACTATATATGACCCCGGCTACCACTCACCAGACGATACATGAGAGTATAACATTCCACTTTGCGCCGGTGTTCTGCGAGGCCGTGGCACTTTCCTGGACGGGCCTGCCCATTCGTGCCACAGCAGAAGCCGTTATTATTTTTCGGACACATTTTAACACCACTTTCTCCAGTCGCAAGCTAAGCAACGCTTGCACTTTGGGTACTGGGTATCTATCCTCAGTACTATTTTTTGCTCCATAGCCGGCCTCGGCAGGACGGGAACCCTGATAGCGTGCTACATGATGAAGCATCACGGCTTCACCGCCAGAGAGGCAATCGCCTGGCTGCGGCTGTGCAGGCCGGGGTCCGTCATCGGCCATCAGCAGTGGTTCCTCGAGAAGTGAGTTGACCCTATACTTACTTACCTTACTAATTTACAAGTTATTTTGGTAGATAGAGTTGAAAATCGCTTGCTTTTGTACTCTATAATAAACTGATCTGTTAAACATAATTGCTCCACTGCTTATTTTACTTATTTACAAGTTATTTGTGGTGGATAGAGTTTAAAATCGCTTGCTTTTGTACTCTATTATAAACTGTTTTCTCTACTCTACTCACTTTCCTAATTTAAACGTTATCTGTCTTGGATAGAGTTTAAAATTGTTTGCTTTTGTATTCTAAAGTAAATGGATTTCTTTAACATCGTTGCCCCTCTACTTTACTAATTTAGGTACACGATATTTGTGGTGGATAGAGTTTAAAATTGCTTGCTTTTGTACTCTAGTGTAAACAGATTTGTTTAACAGAGTTGTGCCTCACTTACTTTACCAATTTAAGGATAGTATTCCAACCTTAGCTCGTAGTATATAAGCTTTGTCACAGAACATCGTTCATAAATTCGAAAAATCAAACAACAATCCTACTTTCAAACATATTAAATTTCTTCGACCATTTTTTTCATATATCTTCCGCCAAAATTAGAAAAACCAACACTGGGACGCTGCTAGGTGACCAACACATTAAACAGGCAGTGAATCTTGAACCTAATTTTTGTGTTCACAGTGTTCAACCTCGAATGCACGCGGAAGGCGAGGCGTACCGGCGGCGGCACAATATAACCTCACTGCCTGTGTTCTCTCGCGGCATCTACTGCTCGCTGCCCACTCCGCCCGAGGCGCCTGACAAGCCCAGCGTTGGGGATGACAAGCCTGTCTCCCTCCAGACTATACTGGCCAGCAAAAATACCAACAAGGTGCGTGCAGTTAAATGTCGGCCGCTCATCGCTTTTTACGCTGCCGATAAGTATGCAGTAGGTACAGCCGGTAATTGCTGTACTATGTATGTAGACATAATGGACACAAACATGTAATTCAATGAAGTTATCATTTTTTTTCACATACAGCGATTAATTTAACTGGCATGTTACATGCAAGTGAGATAAAATTACTTGCTGTATGTATAAATTCATATTCTGAAGCAATCTCTATATATATATATTTACTTTAATATTTTTCTGTTATGGGTAATAAAATTTAAGATTGCTATCTTAGCAATAAGCCTTGTTGCTTATTGAATAAGGCCGCTTATAGTATATATTATACACTATGTTATCTGTCTTTTTCTTTTGTTTATTTCCTTGTGTTGCAATAAAGTATTTTCTATTTTGTTATACTCTAATATTTACTGGCGCCGTTTGCAGCTGGACAACTCGAATGCGCTGAACGCGAACGAAGCGGACACGGAGAACAACGTCACTTCGGTGATCGGCAAGTACAGGACCACGCCCACTCCGATGCTGCCGACGAAGGCGGTCTTCGCGCCGAAGCTGAACTACATGACGCCGACGAGCAACGTGCGCAACTCCAACGGCACCAACCTGAAGCCGCAGCCGAGGATCAACTCGACGCTGAAGTCCCACTACGCGGCGAAGACCTCCACCTTCCCCCCCACGAGGGGCGCCAACTCGCAAGCGAGCAAGCTCGTCGCCGGCGTCAAGTCATCGTTCCAGGGCAAGGGCAGCTTCCACGGCCAGAGGGCGAATTTAGCGCGGCCCGCTCTGAGCTACAGCCACGGCGGCAGCCCACTAAAACCCTTCACGAGGAAGGCGGCGAGTGTCTGCAAGATGGCGTCCAACGAAACGGCCCCTGTCAGCGCGCCGAGCAACGTGACCTCGCTGTCGGCGCTGACCGAGAACTGCCACCTGAACGGCAAAAACCGCCTCCCGTCCGAGCCAAACTTGAAGGCCGGGCGAGTGGGCGACTCGAAGGGCGGGTCGAACAACGTCCCCGCGCGCAAAAAGCTCCTGATCCGCTCCAACTCCAGCACCAGGAAGAAGCTGCCGAAGAGCCCGCCCAAGAGCGGGCTGGAGGCGTCGCAGGAGCTATCCTCTAGCGACACGAACGTGACGAACATGTCGGCTGACTCGCTCGATGCGCCGTTCAGGTTCAGACGGAAACGCGACAAGTCGACCAGCCCCGAGCCGATGGACTGCATCGCCAACTCGGTGATAACGGCCGACGTAACGCCCGACAACTACGAGGAGACGAACAACTCGCAGGGGAACAAACTCTACAAGATAAAGGCGCTGAGGAAGAAGTGCCCCGCCTTCCTCCTCAAGAAGGATAGCGTTCAGACAAGGTCGAGCAGCTGTAGTACTTCCAGCGTGAAGAGGAAATGATTATAGCTTAACTCGTAGCAACTGTTGCGTCGTAGATTCTATTAGTTGTTTAGATACGCGCATAGCGCACCGTTATGTGTGTTGGTGGATTTGTTTAGGCGCTTCCCAACTCCGAATCGGTCGGCAACCATGAATTAACTTCCACATACCAACGGGCTAGTGGAAATAAGTTCAAAGATGTAAATGAAAAAAAGTTACATGTCTAAACAAATTTCTCGACATACCGTGTACAGAGATAGATTTATGTTAACCTACAGAGGACAAGCCTAATTGAGTTTATTTTTTCGTTTTGATTCGATTTAATGTCTAATAATATTGTCTCGAGTATAAAAATAACATTTATTTGATGTTTACATACTTACAATGTATAATTATGTTTTCTTTTTTACAATTTATATTCTTTTTATTATATTCATATTTATGTATGATCGAAGTGTTGAATGGTGCAACCCAGCAGATTCGATGACTTAGCATAATCTAGATAATATTATTTTTTTATATTTTCGTATTTACATTATAAAATTATTTTACTAGTTTTCACTGTTTCATATTTTATTCGTTTTAAGTTTTATTTTATTTTTTTGCTTCGCTATGTGTTTACTACATAAGTGAGGGTGATACATATACCATATATGTAAAGAAAAAATAATGTTTTGGACCTTATCAACTGCTTCAGCTATATTGTTTGTAATTAATATTCAAAAATAATATTATTGTAATGAATCATTTTTGACATCTTATCTTTAATTCGAATTTATTGAAAATCATGTTTCTATTGAGATTTTTTTTATTTGGAAAACGTTAATTTCTTTGCTTACTCTGAGACAAACATATTAGGCTCTGTAGGTAGTTGCGTAGATTTAAGAAGAAATATTTTTGTAATTAACAGAATATTATTATGTGATGATGATATGCCATTTTTCCTTAGCCTCTATTGAGCCCCTTATTAATCAAACTGATTATTAGTTATGTTTAATTCGTTTTTTCGTTTGCTAAGTTGTCTTGTAGATATATATTACGTATTTGTTCTCTCTAGTACTAGAGATGTATATTCATATTATTTCTGGTTTTTTATGTTTGTTTGAAGTAGTTTGGTGGACACTGAGATGTTGCATTTTTAATAATATTTTAATTAATGAAAATGATCAGCAATGATGTAGGATGTTTTGATGGTGTACTTTTATGCCGACTATTGTACCGAAAATTATAATCAATTACATTCTTAATGTGAACTTTAACTTTGAATAACATGTATCGAATCTTGCCAGCTTAATATTGCTCAAGCAATTGTCTCAGTGTACATGAATTTGTAAAATTTTAACATATAGTCACAAACTAATAATGCATTATATTTAGTTGTTAGTAGTTAGGAAATCCGTTGCCTTCCTGATATACTGTTGTTATTACTATGTAGGTAGATGTCACAAGTACAGTCGAGGTAAAAATTTGTTTGTTTATTTTATTAATTATGTGATCTTTTTATTTCTTATTTAATGAATGAAACAAAAGTTATTAAGGTTGTGTTTAGTTTAGTATGGTGCTTGAATTAGATATGTGTCGTGAATATACTTTAAATTTTCTATACATTTATGAAAAACTGGTGACATATTGAATCAATGCACTTTGTTGTATTAATATTTAAGTTATTGAAATATGTTAAATTATTTAAATTTTTTTGGTTTTGTCTTTCGTTTACATGATTTTTGCCCCGACTGTTCGCCTTATATTGTTTTTTTACAAAAAACTGTCGCGTTTCTACGATGTTATACGAATTTAGAGTATCATATCAGATTTGTATGATTGCAACAGATTGGATTACCTGTAATAAATAAAACATAGCGTCCTTCAAACTTAGTTATGTTGTTAAATACAGACTGCATGATTTTTACACAAGCAAATCGAAACTTTTATTTTTGAAACTGTACTTAGAATCGTATCTTAAGGGATTTCATTGTAGAGTCAGAAAATTTTACTCCCCCATCAGTTTATTCAAAACCGAGTTTTAAGAAATTGTACATATTATCAGTATTTACAAGAATTATACATAATTATAATTATTGTTTAGTATAATAGTTTGTTCGAAAATGTCCTACGTAAAAATTGTAAGTACAGTAACATTTAATGTTAATTTTAGTTTAATATACATTAGGCTCTTTACAATATTATAATTCAATACGTCGATGTGTCGTTGCTACCATAGTAGGGTTAAAGATTTTCAAATTTAATAGTACATTTTCTTTTCGTGAAGTTGGTGATGATTTACCTTATGAAGAGACTAAAGTGCATGACTCGGTGTCTAGAGAAAATGGTGAGTTATTTGATGTAGTACAACTAAATATATCTGTATATACATTTTGTTACTTGGTTGAGCCATGACAACAAATTTCACATTGGCCGCGTGTCAATCAATGCCACATACAAAATCAAACAATGTCGCATTTATGAAAACAATACATTTCATTATTGGAACAGCGTTTGAAAATAGTATTATAATATTTATAATTTAATTGTCAGATATTGTGTTTTCCCCAGTCTACCTTGAAGTTTTAATATCCTCTATAAGGTTTGGCCCCGCCACTAACTTTGTTGGAGAAATAAAGAAGTTATAATGGTTTTAAATCTTTTAGTTTAAAGTGACAGTTTGTTAGGCCAAATGATCCAAAACCTCACGCGATTTACAAGTGGCAGTTATTATTTTTTCCATAGTCATATTCTATGTTAAAATTAAATATAGGGGAAACCATTTGTTTTCGATAGCATTGCAGCTTTATGATGGTTGATGTTTTCATTATTTTCTTATTTGTATGCTATGTTACGCGAATAATGTCAGACTTCGAAATAAGGTAATTTTTAATTCATTATTTAATAGTATATTTCATTAATGTTTGGTATGTTGAAATTGATTGCAATTTTTGTTACGGCCTCTTACTGCAAGTCTAAGACTTGACCTTATCTACTCTACTATAAAATAATGGTTTTGCTTTTAGTCCGTAAATTATTAAAGATTTACCGAACGCTGAACTCCAAGGCTAAACAGAATCCACAGGCCTAAGATACATCGAAAAAACTATCGAAATATTTAGACCATGTTAATGACTAATTTATGTTTAACCAGTGTTTGAATAAAGGGAACAGAAAATATCTATATATATATGCCGTAGATGTCAAAATTTTAATATATTAAAATAAATGTATGCATTTAAATTTACACGAACGAAAAGTACGGCGTATTAACTGTAAAAAATCGCAGTAATTTCGAATTCGCATGTAATTTTTTTTATAAAATTAATTTGTATAGTAATAGTTAAGCATAAACAAAAGTGAAATATTTTTTTTTATTTTTAATTCCATATAACGTTTCGAGTTTTTTTTTATTTGGTTATGTTTAATGGGACGTGAGGTACCAGGGGACCAGAGCATCGAGATTGTGACTGTTGTTTTGCTACTTTGGGTTACAATATATAGATACGTTTTGAATTCATATTTTATCGATTAATTATAACTACATCGTGATCCGGTGAAATAATCATTTACTAATTACAATGTGCACTATTTACATTAAGATGTATATAACCATCGGACCGCCGCCCCACGGCGGCAAGCAAGAGGAGTTGCTTATGCTTATTAAAAAAAGATATATTCCAATTTATCCTGTTGTTTTATTAATGGTAAGGGTGGTCGATCTTAGTGCCATTAATCATTGTCATGGAACGAAGTGATTCGTAAACAGTCAATTGAAATGTTTTATTTTTTGGGCTTATGGTGCAAAAGTTGTAGCACGAAATTTTATTTCTTGGATCCTTTTTTTTAAGAGGGTGTTACTGTAAGGTTAAATTCGTGTTTGTGGAATCGCGATATTCGTCCCATGGTCGCCATTTTGTAAAAAGTGGTTCAAACGGTTTTTAGTCTATATCGGGCAAACTTTTTTGTTCCAAATAAAATTCTCTAGAACCTTTTGTAACATTTTTTCGTAATACCAAAAATAACTAAGTTACTAACGAAAATACATAAAAATTATCGAGGAACAACTTTTTCTTTTGATTGTTATAACTTTTTTCCTGAATATTTATCAAAAAAATGACATCACCCCTTTAAACAAATGTCATTTGATATGTTTTCAAGGAATAATATTATAAGCACTTAAATAATTGAAAGTTCATTTTTAAATATTTGGACTCCATGTTAATGTTGTAATGGTATTTAATTTCACTTGACCTTATTGTCTATATCTCTCAATAAATTGAGAAAATTAACTACATATATTAATCCTGTCATTTATTAACTGTTTACTATCACAATTTCTTGTCCTTTGCGGGAATCCTAATCTCGACGCACGGTGCTGGTACCACTAGCTTAGTAACAGCGCCTCGGAATTAGTGATACAAATATTAATTGCATTAAATTAAATTACAAGAACTAGTTAGTATTCAACTTTTAAAACGGCCTGTCCAGGTTTCAGATTTTAAAAGCCATTAAATATGGCGTTTAAAAAAGCTCGCAGGGTCCCGAAAAAGTCTTAAAAAGTAGAGTAACAGCCTCTATACAGAGGGTATCAGGGCATAGTCCACCACGCGGCCCCACTGCGGATTGGCGGACTTCACATATCTTCGAAAAATATTTTTTTTTGTTATTATTTCGAAAATATGCAGGTTTCCTCACGATGTTTTCCTTCACCGCGGAGCACGTGATAAGTCAGCACTTAAAGTTACAAACTTCATTGGTGCCGGCACCGGGGATCGAACTCAGGTTGCTCGAGTATATTGAAATAAAGGCGAGCGCCCGGACACTGAGCTATCACGGGTTCCGTGCCGTGAAAAAGTCTTAATTAACACAAATGGCTGACACGATCTTGATTTTCTGCAAGTAGTAATCTCCAAATTATCACCTATCACCATAAAACGAAAATATATTACACATGCTTGAACTTTCGACCACCATTGTACAGATTAAGAAATGTATCAATCGCCCTCGTGTCCCTAATGTGTTTTTAATACTAAAATACGAACACAATTAAATATAAAAATTTATTTCAACATCACAATAAATAGGTAGTAAGTAGGTACATTAAAACTACTGTCTCTTTTCACTAAAACTATTTTTACGTGTAAATCTTAATTCAACCACTAAACTATTGTATTTTATAGGAAAAATAAGGTAGCTCTTAGCAGGAAGTTTTAAACCAGATCCAAGATATATTTACTATAATTATTCTTCACCTTGACTCATTATTTTCGGAAAAAGTAAATAGGAACGAAAATAAAAAAAAAATCAATGAAAAATTAATTACATACAATCACTAGTTCATTGCAACTCTATGAACGTTTTTATCCGACTGTTAAGTCTTGAAGAAAATAAATTTCTTGAATGTTACGATTGTAAAGTAACATTTGCCACATAAAATAAAATATTATGCCGTAACTCATTTCAATTCTATGTACACAAAAGAACGTCCATAAATCAAAGATCATTGATCATCTTAACTGTGAGATTAGGTCATGCAAATCTGATAATTACCTGAGCACATTTAAAAAAGAAAAACAATTTTTTACCACAAAATTACCCAACATAATAACCTGCACATGTTTTTTATGAAATAGTGCACTGACCTGCACTATAACATAAAACGCGTTCTTATCTGCGGAAATTCCAGTCCTTTAGTTTTTTGCAATTTCATTTAAATCGTATGTTATTTTTGAAGTTATACTTCTTATGGCGCGTTAGGGAAAAATGATGAGAGTAAATTTTTACGATGCGCGCGCACACCGTCACGAAAAACCAACACTCTGAAGTTAGCTAGACATCAATGTATGTTTGCGTGAGAACTGACAACTGTATTCACGATATTTATTTTGTGATATTTAAATAAACTTTATTTAACTAGATAATGCGTTATAATAAAACTTTTCAATCTATTAAATAGCTTTTTTTTCTATTTTTAGTGTCGTTTTTTCTACAAACGTACTATAAGGCGAAGGATAAAATTTTTGAAAAGATTTTTATCTTGTTACCCCAAAGAAGTATAACTTCTACCACTCTTTTATTTTTCTCAAACTATGTTATTTTGATGGCTGTATTTTTTTTAATAGGCCGCATAACGAAAATCGATAAATTTAGCTGAGAACAGGAGTGAGGGCTTCCTGAGTCACGTTCTTTATTTTTAACTATTAATTGCAAATGAATGGAAAAGCTATCATTTCTTCCTTCGCTTGTACTATGCTTCCCTTCGATATTTCTAGAACTCGTACTCGCTGACGATCACGACGAGTCTGGCGACCGCGCTGCCGGCGAACTGACTTCGCTGGTAAAGGGACATGGTCAACTCTAGCTCCGCAACTTGGGGTCCCTCCAGTGAACACAACAGTGACACCACGCAAATGTTGCCACTCGGTCTCATGCTGAACGAAAAATAACACATTAAGTTGCAGTAGAAATGGTATTAAAGTTAAAAGAAATAAGACGTCAAGTTTCAGTAAACGGTATTGAAATCAAAGGCTTGTACTAGGAAGGTTATATACATAGTATATAGCGATTTATGTCATAAACATGGTACAGTAAATATTTTTATAGTACTATACGGTATATGTATAAATAAAGAGGTAAAATCCGATAAACAGTTTTATTTAGATGTGTGTAGCAGTACACACGTAAACACCAGAAATGATGATCTCTATATATATAAAAAAGTTAAGCTTCCGTATTTTGAGACCACAAAACTGAAAAACTAGCCGATGGATTGACTTAATATTTGTTCACCACATAGCTATTAAACAGGAGAGCGTTTTTATATACTTTTGATAGTTATACAGTAAGAGCTAATCTCTATATTACTATATTATAAATTTACGTTTGACGTTATTTAATATAACGTCAAACGTAAATTTATCACAGTTTGAGCGATATGATATTTCTTTTACAATAAGAAACAGGATAAAATTAGTATGGTCATATTGAATTGATCACTATGTACCTATAGCAAAAAATATTTCTTTACAATAAATAGCGAATATTAAACTTTTTCGAGTTGTTCCACCGAGTTTAATGCATCGCCTATGCATTTGTACCAAGTCGCCAAGTCATTTTAAACAATAATAAAAAATAAACGGTAATATCAGACAGACTTCGCTACAACGAACGAGTTAACAGTATTCATGATTCTGTACTGATAATAAACTTAAAATTTTAACAAATTAGGTATATAACCATGCATAAAGATGGATTGTTTGCGGGGTATTAATGGAACTTACTCGAAGCATGTGAAGTCTGCTGGCTTTACGCCGTTAGGTGCCTTCACTTCCACCATCCTCATCTCGAAGCTCACCAAAGAGTCCCGCCACGAAGGGCCGTGCATCGTGAACAGGTCGACCTGCGCGTGCCACAAATAAGAATAACTATTTACACGACACTTTCATCTTTTTAACGAATTATTTTACCTTTAGCCAACTTTAGTAACTAACAAACAAAGAGACGAATGTCGAGCTTTATTTTTGGTTTTTACTAACCAGCTGATTCTTAACTACTGTACCAGTGAGAATAATGCATAGCAAGACATAAAAAAGTGGTCTTAGGTTTTACACAACGGCCCAATAAACGATAATTCCTGCGCTGAAGGAATTCACGTACTAATAGGATGTGAAAAATTACGCTGGCAAAGCCGTAGTTAATACTTATGCCCCTATCTCATGAATCTGGTTATCACACAAGTTCAGCGTTCAATGAAGCTTTAATAGCTATGAAGTGAAAGCGGAAACATCAGTTCATTGTAACCTCATCACAGAAGGGCACCGGTGCTTACTTGATTATGTAGATGACCACTTTAAAACAGCACTAAGTAATATTTTAAAGCGGTCTTCATCGTCTCACAAACAACTTTACTTAAATTTGCATACGTGAGAAATAAATAAACAAATTGATCAGTTTCCTAACACTGGCCAATTTATTTATTTGTCCGTAGCTCTCATTTCTTCTCGTTTTTTAGCAGCTTTCGTTTTTTTTTTTTCGCTCAATAAAGACCAGCGTGTAGTGGCAGAAGGATACCTTCGCGTTTCGTCTTTTGAATGAATTAACAGTGCCCGTTATTTAAAGATTGATAACGCACACAGTCCGTCAAGGGCGGATCCAGCTTTGGTGCCAGGGGGGGGGGTCACGTAGTCTTTGGCAAGTGATAAGAAGTTATAGTTAAATTTTTATAATCATAGATACAAGTAAAAAGTAGGAACTTATTTTTAACCGACTTCAAAAATAAGGAGGTTATCAATTCGGTTGCTTATATTTTTTTTATGTAGGTATGTTCGGGCATACCTTCGTCATATATAGACGGATTTGCAAAATTCTTTTTTGTTCGTAACATTTCGTTGCTTTTTATCATCATATATTATACAGGGTAGCATTTATAAAGGTGCCCAAATTCACACAGGAGGTTCAGTTTACGTTTAGAATTTAATAAAAAAAATGGATGCCCTTAGAAAAGCCACCCTGTATAGTAGCTATTGGTAGGCTTACTTATTTTTGGAATTTCTTTTATTTATTTCTTCGTTACCTGATTTTATGTAGTCGTATTAGTTATAATATTCTCTATTCCTCTACTCCGCACGCTGGCTCCACTTTAATGACAAGTAGCCTAAGACGGGGACTATCTAATCAAAGACAGAATCCACATTCATAAGAAACGGAACGAACAAACTTTATTTCCCAAAGATGGTCTCACGTCCACTAAACCACTACATCACCCATCACAAACGGTCCACCCGTTAAGACGAATCAAACTCGACGCAGTTGTGTTCCTTAATTACTGAGTTCCTATGGCCACATTCCAGCTCTGTCAGACACTGGTTACCATCTAACACTAAAGAACTCGTCATGACGAATCAAACGAGCCGAGACGCAATAGGGTGGCGTCGTTTCTTTACTGAGTTCATATGACTATATTCCAGCTAGATCAGACCCTGGTAACCATCTAAAAATTAAGTACTCGCCTAGACGAATCAAACGAGCCGAAACTCGATGGGGTTGAGTCGTTTCATTACAGAGTAGCCATAGGAACCTCACAGCCAGCAATAGCCTCATAGACCTCACAGAAGATCGGCGTAAAGTACTTCTGCTATTTGTCTGGTGAGTAACTCACTCACGAGATACGTTTTCTCTTACTTATTCTCTTAAGGAGAAAACATATCTGCAATCCTATGCATATGTCCATGGACGGCTGAAGATGGAGCTCCATCATCAGATCCTGGTTACGAATGAAAGACAAACTACTCGTCAATACGATTCAAATGTACCCAAACGCGATGTGGCTCTGTCGTTTCATTTCGAAGTTCCTTTGGCCTGCTTCCAGCTCCATCATCAGATCAGCACCATGTCATAAAAATATTGCATTGTCTCGCGATTCACACATGTATACAAAATTTCAGTTCAACCGGTAACCGGGAAGTAAATCAAATTTAATTTTCAACATTTGATTTGATGATTTAACATTAAAATATTGTAAAAATGTTCATAAAATGAAAAGTACTTGGCCAAACTATGGTAATTTTTTATGGGACCAAATGACAACTATTCTGCATAAAACTAAAGAAGAGACACGTAAATCGGATCATAAATCTCAACGTAATCGGTGTACATACATCGAAAAAAATATACCAATCGAATTGAGGAACTCCTCCTTTTGAAGTCGGTTAAAAATATTATATTAATTTAATTAAATATTAAAGGTAGTTAGATAAAATCTATATTGTGGCAAAAAATATATAAAAACAATATGTTTAACAATTTTAATGAATGGTCTACCTAGGCCCTGGACCCAGCGCAGGGGGGGGGGTCAAGACCCCCATGCCCCCCCCCCCCATCCTGGATCCGCCCTTGCAGTCCGTTTGGTGCTGCAGAGTTGCCTGCATGCCAACTTTTCACAGAAAAAACAACGTTTAAAAGTTAAATACAGTCCGAGAATATACCTTGCAGAGAATGCTCCAATAAAGTATGTGTATACAAGATGCCCAGCAATGGAACATATCTGTAGGCTGCATGTAAATCATTGAAATTGCACTCACGCTCCCGGCGGGCAAGTAGATGTTGGCGACGAACGTTATGAAGTTGTAGCTGAGGGCGCTTGGCTGCTGGATGCAACCCCAGTCGGATATCGGGCACGAGCGTTGGATACGCGTGCATTTGCTGGATTAACGACAAATTCAATATATACTGATATGAAAATCAACAGCAACAAACAGACAAAATCAGCAGTAACTCTAGTATGGCCACGCAATAGTTTCGGCCGTTGCCCGAATGGGCAGGTCCGTCGGTGGGAAACGATTTGCAGGGCCCATTTTATTAAGTGGGCTATCATTTTTAAGGTGGCAACACATCTGCAACTTTACAAATAGCTATAAGTAAAAGTAAATTAGTTAAATTAGAAGTAGATCAGACAAGAATTTCTCCTCTTCTTTGATAAGTTCCAAAGATTATTTTATAACAATTTCAGATTTCCTAAATTTTAGATTTCTTAACTTTAACCGTCTTCGTTTCTAAATTATAGATCATTAATAAATTATTTAACTTAAAAAGTTAACTGCAAATAATACTAACTGCTTAGACTCTAGACGATAGCCCGGCGGGCAATCTATTCGGTGACAGTGGTATCCTCCCCTGGTGTTCTGGCACACCATTCCAGCGTCCGATGTCCTCGCACAGGGGGCCTCCCCTGTCTCGCACTCGTCAATATCTGTCGTAAAAGAAAAATTAGAAGCCATATGTATGAATATGAAATTTAATAAATGTGGCCGAAGCCACTACAAGTCTTGCGAACATAATTGTTTCAATTACATACAAGTATGTAATTGAAACAATTATTCCATTTTCCAATCGATTTTAACGGTTGATGCTGCAACCTGCGGTGTCTACAGGATGCAGCATGATGGTAAATTGTACTTTTGCAATTATAAGATGGAAGTGAAGCTATATGAAAGGTGGAAGTGTACTGACCTGATGTTTTAACTGTTACCAAATGAGCCTTACACACTATAAATAATAATATAATCATTACAACAGTTAGGCGTTTAATGTAATAGGACATAAATAAGACCTGGAAGTATGTAGGGGAATAATAAATATTTCAGAATACATTGAACACAAGGTTATCTAGCCACAAAATAGGCAAGGCTTGAACTAGGTAGTAAATAAATATACTTTTCTTTTGGAAATAAATACATATAATAGATAACCATATAATAAGTAACCAGACACTAGCAAAACAATGTTAAGGTAATGGGAGGTGCCAATATTTTTCCAAAAGTGGGGATCGAACCCACACGCTGTTGCAAGAGACACGTTTTCTATACACTAAGCCAAACTCATTTTACTCACATAAATTTATATTGCAATTTCATTTATATTTGTTAAACGTCCACACAACACAGGCCAATGTTATCACAAAACCGACTTCAAATATCTATCTCTGTATTTATTTTATAATTGATTTTCAGGAGTTCCCTACGTATCACCGGAGCCCAAGATCCAATACCAATGAAATTAATATGGGACCACATGGGAAGCACCAGCTTTCAAATAAAAAAAAAATCATCCAAATCGGTTCACTCGGTCGAAAGTTCTGAGGTAACAAACATTAAAAAGAAATACAGTCGAATCGAGAACCTCCTACTTTTGAAGTCGGTTAAAAAATGATTGGCCTACCTATACAACTTCGCGCGTCATCCGCGAGCCTGTATCCAGGCGGGCAGCTGCAGCGGTAAGTGCCGGGCACGTTGACGCAGCGCCCGCCGCACAGGCGGCCGCGCGAACGCACGCTGCCCCACTCCGCACACTCGTCCACATCCACGCAGGTCCTGCGAATTTCCAACTGCCCCATGAATACCAATTCGCTCGCGTGGAGCGCCTGATGATGAATACCCTTATAGCTGTTGTGGGGCAACGCAACAGTCTCCGCTGTCGGAATATACTACTGCGTTTCGTCTAGTGAATGAGGTAGCCGGCCCATTTTACCATAATATATTCCGTATATTCACTTTACCCTTTTTCTGTTATAGAGTTCGAGTAGGTTCAACAACAGCTTACCTCAGAGCTCGTTCTGTGTGAACTGCTCAGCCGTGGAAGAGCCACAGCCTCAATGATCGCCACAAAGTAAAAGTATTTACACCCTTTCGTTTCAATTACATGACTTGCGGATGCTGAATAGTTGACAACCAGTCTGCACGCATCGCTATTCACTCCTTCGCACCAAATGAATAATTTCTTTACTTGACAATTCTTTGAAGGAACCAGCCTACTACACCTCGATACTCTCCACTCCTTCCTTTATTAAAACTTTGTCTATTAAGGACCTTTGTATTAACGGTTAAGCTTTCAGTCCATAGACTATATAAATCAGCGGACACGGAACTCGTGCAAAGGCACGGGCTGCTTGGACCCCAACTAACCAGGGTCGAGCGGTGGGCATGCATTCGGTGCGACGTCCGGTGCGTCCCTGACATCTGCGAACGTAGACTGGCTTTCAATCCGTTAACTAGATAAAGTATCGTAGGACATGGAGCTCATGCAAAAGCTATGGTACGGCCTGATTGAACCCGACCTAAGCCTCTGCTTAGGTGGGTATCTGACTATTCAAGCATCATCATCATCTAAACATAGGCCTCCATCACAGACTGCCACGATAGCAGGACCCTGAGCCACCTGCATCCATCGATTTCCCGCACATTTGCAAACGTCGTCACTCCATCTAGTGGGGGGTCGTCCCACACTGCGATGGCCAGTACGAGGCTGCCACTCGAGAACCTTTCTTCCCCAGCGGTTATTCAAGCACGCATTAAACAAATGAGGATATTCGAGTTCCGTTACGGCCGTTACATCGACGGTGTGATATTAAGGACCTGTTGTCAGAATGCAGCCGGTAGCCCCGCTCGCAGTAGCACCGGTAGCCGCCCCATGCGTTGGCGCAGCCGTGCGCGCACGCGGACGAGCCCTCGGCGCACTCGTCGACGTCCACGCAGACCTTGTCGTTGGTGGGCGCGTTGCGGAACCCCTCGCCGCACTCGCAACGGTACGAGCCGATTGTGTTCAAGCACTTCGCGTTGTAGGAGCACGGCTGCGAGGAGAGGAGACGGTATTTTAAGTGAGAACGTGGCAAACGAGCTGGTGGTCCACATGATGTTAAGTGATAACCCCCATTGACATATGCAAAACTCGTGACTTGCAGATGCGTTGCCCCGTTAATCGAGTGGGCCCCGGTTACATCACTCAACAGACGAAACGCTTCCGGAAAAAATCCCCTTTAGAATTAATCCCCTATTGTTTACTAAACATTCATAACTATATGTTCATAGTATTGTAAGTGTTGATTTTATTATAAACGTAAAGCGACTCTTCTTTGCGATATATGTTTGTTATTACTGTGTTTTTTGGTTCCGTATGAAAATCAAAGCCACGACACGGGGTGGAAGCTTTGCCGACGAAGATTTGTCTTTGCTAACGATATGTGAACCACGTCATACTCACGTTCCCGTAGGCGCATTCGTCGATGTCCTCGCATCGCTGCTGTCCCACCAGACGGTGGCCGAGCGGGCACTGGCAGGAGTAACCGCCGAAGAAATTCTCGCAGCGCTGATCTGGTCCGCACTCCGATATGTTGCGCGTGCACTCGTCAATATCTGGCAACGTCACAATTATCATGTGGAACCTAACGCGACAAGCGTCGCCCGCGTAACGTCCTCATCGACCCGGTCGAGGAAGGGAACGTAATTATTCCGGAACCAACGGGAGACAACACCACACATCCGTAGCGTTAATGCATTAAATAATATAGTTCGTCTTCGCGTAAGAAATAGAGTAGTTAATCCGACACATACACAAGGTACACTCGTAACCGGGTGGTTCTCATCACTTTCAGCCAACAAATAATACAGTCGACGGCCACCGGTGTCGCAGGACCCTGACGGCCTGTAGCCGACAATCCTCCTGATTTTTCAATGCGCTCATGACCACATGCGTGTATTTGCTTAGGGAGAGTCCGTCAAGCTCGTGAAAACGTAGCCTTACCACGAGCACTGTGCCCAATGAAGCTTTGTACATTCTACGGACTGAAAGCGAAAACATCTATCATGACAAAGACAAGAATTTCTGGGAACGGTCATCGGTTTCACTTTGGTAGGGCCACGCAGAAGTATCTGCTGTTGGGGGGGGTAGAACAGCCGCGTAAAAGTACCTCGGCCGCCCAGTAAAAAGTAAGTGGGTGGACTATTGTATTACGTCTGGTGAATAAGTCGGAAGGCTCATACCATCTAAAATAGGCAGCATACAGCATATCCGCAACCCTCTTCTCAATGATAGAGAGTTACTCTTTACCGGCGGTAGTCACTTGTTACAAAGGTAAAAAGTAGAGACTTTATATAAAAACCGTATGTATGTATGACGGTTTTTATATAAAATAAAGGACGGACGGAATCGAGAAAAATTTTTCTCGTTTCTTTAACCGGATATTGAATTCACTTCACAATCACAAGCACTAGACTTGTTGCTTATCCATGTAAATCACACCGATCCAATCTGGGGGTAATAAAATATTTTTTCCGGTAAATCGATCTTAAGTTTTTTTTTTATTTAGAACTGGCCAGCACTTGACTGCCTTCCCACCTGATGGTAAGTGTCGATGCAGTCTTTGATGGTAAGCGCACTAGCTCAGTAAAAACCTATTCGCTCTTGCCTTGAAAACTTTTGCCATTCAAAGGTTATTATACAAATTATATTAAAAATAACATATATATAATTTATAATAAATTACATATTATACAAAAATCAAACAATTAAAAAAGGTCGATATGACTCCGTAAAAATAATTTAAGCTTCTTCGACAAACAACTTGCAGAGCAAGCCATAATGTGCATTCTTGCACTTTATACGAAAGGGAGACGGAGTTACTGTCTCATAAAGCTAAAACGCATATCCAAGACCTAAACCATCACCAATTTCTTTTTGCTTTGTTGCCCCAGGAAGCGCAACACTCCTCCGAGGAACGCAGTAATCGCAGTATCCTTAGCTACCAGGTCGCATGCTTACCCACGCAGCGTTTGTCCGGGGTGAGCTTGTAGCCCCAGGGGCAGGAGGTCAGCACGGCGGTGGACGACGAGGACCTGGTGTACGTGGGCCTGATGACGCGAGCGCCGCGCTGGCCATACTGAGCGCCGACGGTAATCACATTTGTGTCCGGCTGCACGGCTGGCTCCCGGGCCGGGACTGGATAGAAGCCGATATCAGAATATTACCAGAAGTTCCCCCTCTCATAGTGATTGTGGATTGTCGTTTCTACATCGATTAGAGTCTTATTAATTTTGAATGGAAGTAGTTAACTCGTAAATGAAATGAAATCAAATTAAAAATATATTTATTCACATAGACGCTTTCGCGTTCTTATGAAATGTCAAAATTTTACATAAAATTTAATACGTTCGTAAGTTACCATCGGTTCGGAAAGCAGTTTCTGTTGAGAAGAAACCGGCTAGAAACTCAAAAGTTGCTCTTTTTTAAAACTATTATTTTACATTATAATAGGACAGTTACAAGTATTATTTAAGCCCACGTGAATATCAACAGTATTAACCCCACACACTGGCGTCGTCAAAATTTGGTATGCCTTAGCCATAAGTTCACTTTTAATTTTGCGTTTAAATTGATCAAGTGGCGACTTAATATCGACTGTGGGATTTTATTATACATGCGCACACTTTGCCCCATGAACGACCTATGTACTTTTTGTAGACGAAACAATGGCGTAGTTAATTTGTCCTTTTTTCTAGTATTTAAGTTATCACTGTCACTATTCTTTAGATAAAAAATTAAGATTATCTATCTAACATACAAAATATTACAAGAAATTAGGGACGCAACAGTGAGTATATTATTCTCTTTAAAAAAATATCCGAGTGTATTCCGGCTCCGACGTTATAGATTGATACTAATTACTGCTAATAGTACTATGAATAGTTATAAAAAAACTATCAAGAAATTACAATATGTGGGCGTCTCCGCTTCGGAGCGGCATCTCTGGCCGCACACGCAACGGTATCCGCCATCAGTATTGACACAGTCCTCCCTCGGCGCGCAATTCGCCTTGTCACTGGCGCATTCGTCTAAATCTGTAACATATGAAAGGAGAAACTGGCTGACATACTGATCTATCTTGTCTTGTATTAACTGATGTTTTTGCTTTCAGTCCCGAGACTATTAAAGCTTCATCGGACACAGAACCGGTGGGCTAGCCAGAACCCACGGGTTTGGACCCTCCGCTATGGGTAGGGTCGCGCATGTGCTCATGCGTGCGTTTAATTATGGTGTGTCATCTAAGGGCCGTCGAGGTCGCGGTTCGGACCGAGACCCCGACGGCCGTCGACTGTGCATTTAGCTAATCGGTGGCTGGGAGCGGTGAAAACCGCCCCGGAACGCGGGTGTACCTTGTGTACGCGTTGTGTGGGTCTCGCCGTGCTCGGAGGCGAGGGCGAACTGGTGTGATTGTTGTTACACTAACTGTGGGTGTAGTGTTATCCGGCGGGACCCCCGGCGGTGGGTCCATAACTGATCTATCCATACACGGCATGAGCCACCGGGGTGGAAATTCCGATGTATGATATATATACCGTAGTTATATCGTACCGTATATACCGTACCTTTAACAAACAATAAGGACGAATAATTCTCTTAAATTAACGAGGAAACTATAATATAATCTAATATCTATTAAAAATTAAAATATTTTTACGAATTTCATCGCCGACCTTTCGAATACCTTGCATCATTTGTGGTCGCGACACGAACTGTGGTGTTAGACGTCCTTATATCACTGTTGGTCCTGTCTACCGTCAAGTATTGAAAGTTTCAATTTTGTGTCTGACCCACAAATTTAATTTTGAAGTCTTGCTGGGGTAATGTGTTTAAAAAGATTTTGGAAATTCGATGTATCTTTTTTAAACTCAACCATTTTAACGAGGTTATTGGATACAGAAGGCTCATGCGTACTTCATGACACAATTAGGAGCAGGCACATGCCTTTAAGAAATTATTTTGAGTTTGCACCATCACATCTTATTTTCCTGCCCCTTAGTTACCACGCAGGCACAGAAAACCATCGTAAAGTAAAATTATCTATTGGAAAACCATCTTTTCTTGTGAGTGAGTTGAATATTCTAATGGTGTATTGAATGATTATATTATGTATAGCCGTCTACTACTCACCGACACATTTTCCTACACTAGAACTGAACGTGTAACCAAAATCGCACGACATCGGCGGTGTGTACCAAGGCACTCGTGGCCTTGGCATTCGTTGCCATTCAGTACTCGTTGTGCTCACTGCAAAGAAATATAACATATTTTTTTTATTTTGCTTCAAGATTATATCTTGTTTCAGATTCTGTCCCCAGGACGAAGAATGATCGTTGTTTGATTCCTTTATAAGCTTATACGTTGTCCCTCTAGTTATTATCTACATCTGAAAGAAAACATCAGCGAAACCGAGAAAACTAGAAACGCAATATCGCTCGAGTTCAAACCTTAGTATTTTATGTAACCGATTTTGAGGGAAAATTTGACTGTTTTTAATTTGTACGTAATTATACATTTACAAATCAATTAATAGAAAAACGTAACCATTAAAATAATAAACAAAAAAAGGGGAAAACATTAAGCTAAGGGAATTATTTTATCACACCTAAACTAATTACTCTAAATTATCGACCCTAAATTAATTACTCTCTCTTTAATTCAAGAGCTAGGCTCTTATCGGTTGAATTGTGCAATTCCCTTCATCTTTCTCTGTTCAAAGCCGTTTTCTTTACCTGCCTATGCGACTTAACAAGAAGTTGCTCTTCGATTAAGTTAAGTACATACATTTAGTATATAAGTCAATACAGTTATAAAAAGGTTTAATGTTCGGTTTATTACATTGAACTTGGTGCTGTTGCTGGTATTGTCATCTGTTTTATGTGTAATCGTTCCGTTTTCAGTACCTTATTTTATATCCGACAGAACATTTTACAAAATTCCAAATTCAAAAAGACCTAGAGTTATCGCCGCGGCTGGTGACAAGAGGGCTGGTTCTTTTCTCGCACCAAGGTTAAGCATAACTATTCAGCGAGGAAACGCCGAAATGTTTCAACTAGGTTTTGTTTATGACATGTAATATAGTGAGATTTAATATTGTAAATATTTTCTAATTGGAACAATAAATATTAAGACATTTGTGATTCAAAAATGTAGCTAAATAGGCCAGTTAAGAAATAGAAAGACAATATTCGTGGCATCTAGTACGCTCATCGTTATATACCTGCTGTTGTGCTTTCGGTCGTAGAAGTGGTTCTGGCTGTAGTTGGTCTCGGCGTAGTGGTTGTGGTGGTAGTGGTTGTGGTGGTGGTGCTACTAGACGTGGTGATAACCACGCACCAGCCGCTCGAGTCGCGGCGGAATCCCGGAATGCAGTCACAAATGTATCCGCCCTGTTTGTTGTGACATTGCTCCAGGCTACTGCAAATGTGGCGGCTCGTTTCGCATTCATCGATATCTGGATAAGAGCAAAAACACTGCGATAAAAATTAAATTGAACTGATGTTATTAATACCAATGTTTGTGTATATAATACATCAGTTTCATATCCACGCCGCAGCAGCTGAACCGATTTGAACATATGATGTATACTTAACCTTTGGAACGACCTTCTTTAGTTTCAAAGATGAAATAGTGGCAATGTGCGAAATAATACCTCCCCATATCCCACCTCATCTATTTAATAAAACGTGACGTGACAGCTCCTTTTCTGTACAGAGATTTTCAGAAATCTTGTAAATACGATTAGACCTAGAAAGAACTGTAAATTATACTTATAACAGTTGAAATATAAAATTATATTGAATATTTGTAGTTTTACTCCAAACAAAACTTTTACACTCACCGACACAATCCCCGCTGGGGCTTCTCTCGTATCCCTGCAAACAGTGCAACTCCGCAGGATTGAATTCTGGATATTCCGGCCCATTGTTTCCAATAACATTGGTCCATTTGTCTTTGGGTATTTCGCTAGTATTTAGCCCGTAGCTGCCATCTGGTTCTCTCTCTTTCTCTATCGTATTGACGTCTGTGGGAGCGGGCACCGTCACTTCTACGGGAGGTGTGTGAGTTTCTGGTCTTCTCGGTCTATACTCTGGTCTTCGAGATTCAGAAGTGGGTCGGGCAGGAGTGGGTCCATCCGGTACGCTTGTAGGGGTTCTTCTGGTGGTGGGTTTACGCCTGGGGTAGTACGGGTTGTACCCAGATGGCCGTGCGGGGGGCCAGACTCTTGGCGTGTGAGTTGTTGTGGTGGTCGTGGCAGGTGTGGTAGTTGAAGTTGTGGTAGTAGTCGAAGTTGTGGTCGGCCGCGGAGTTGTTGTCGTTGTTGTCGTGGTGGTAGTTGTGCTTGAAGAAGTCGTCGTAGGGGTTGTCAATCTGGTCTCTGGGATTTTGTCAACATCCGTGGTGTTATCCTCTCTGTGAATATTTATTTATGAGAGATAATAAAAGTAATAGTTAGTGGACAATAGATCATAGACAACAGTTGCAGCTGTTAAAAAAATATTAATAATTGAAAAGCACCTTTGTAAAAAGATATGCACAGAAATAAAAAAAAAACTAGTCAATACCATTTACATTATGATTGTGCAAGAGAAATATTAGTTTTCTCTGCTACATGTATTGTTTTAAAATTTGCAATAAAATTAAAAAATTTTAGATTTTAGATCCAATATTTTTGGACATGGTTATGCTCTCATAAAAAAGAGGGCATCGTCCTTACAATGCTGCTGGTAATAAATGATGTTAAATCATTGTATAATATGCTTTATCATAAAGGATAGTTTTAGTCTGTTTCCTTGTCTGAAAGTTTGTTTTTTAAGTTATACTTCTTTGGGCGTGTTTGGAAAAAATTATATGAATAAAACTCTAACGATACGCGCGCGCACCGACCAAAAAGCTACATGATAAAGTTGGTTGCAAAGCAATTCTTGGTTGGCAACCAATAACAACTTTTTAACATTAACCTATAGCCTAAATGATGGTGGTTATCATTTAATATCAGGTGCTATCAGCTTGCTTGCCATTTTTTACTTTAAAAAAAACGCACTTACTCGGAGTCGTAGTACTCATACTCGTAGACGGTCGGAATAGGGGTGGTGGTGGTTGTGGTCGTGGTGGTGGAAGTGGTCGCAGCACGACGCGTGCAGGTGAACGAACCGAGCACGTTCAGGCAATGCAGGCCGGCTTGGCAGTTGTCCATTTTCAGAGCGCATTCGTCAATGTCTATAAAACGAGCGTTCAAAACTATCCATCCTTACGAAGTATAGAGTATTGGGCGGAACCCCTACTTACGGTTTGTGGTAACGAGACGAAATGCCATGCCGGGAAATATGGCTCTTTCTATTTCCAAATATCGCAAAATCACGCACAATCATACATGGACAAGCCACCTTTTGAAATAGACATCCGTGGAAATCGTGGGTAATATGAGCAATTTCTGTCTAACCGCCTGAAGTAAGGCGACAGAAATTTCGAAACATTTTAGGTCCATTAGTTTGATGAGATTACAAGCAGGGCCAGATTTAGAGGTCTGGAGGCCTCGGGCAACAAAGGAGTGGAGGCCCTTTGCCCCAAATAACTTCCATTCAATTCTGTTAATATTTAATGTAATCATGTTTGTACAAAGTACTGCAGGTAAAAGTAAAATGCGAAAAAAAATTGAAAATAAAAGTTGTTTACTGTTTGAATTTTTTCTTCCGAAGTCTCTATTGTGGAGGCCCCTCATTTGTGGAGGTCCAGGGCTGTTGCCCCGGTTGCCCTCCCCTAAATCTGGCCCTGGCCGTGGAAACCCTGTATTGTTATAAAATTCCTACCAACGCAGGATCCGGAGGAGGAGTCCAGCTCGAAGCCGCTTTTGCAACGGCACTCGTGGCCGCCGTAGGTGTTGATGCAATTCTGGAAGTGGTCGCACAAGTGGGAGCCCTCGCGGCATTCGTCGATGTCTGAAATAAAATTGTGCATGTCATTTCAGGGGACAAGCTGTGGCGACTCGGTACAGGCGTACTACGACGGTTGCCTGATTATATATGCTTTCTTTTTTCCAACCAATATCAGCTTCTTTCGTGAAACGACAAGAAAAATATACTGATAGCATAACTGGAGGAAAAGCAAAGGACTTCTCAGTAAGAAGTTTGTTGTCACGGTGTTATGCTTGTAAATTAGTTAAGGATACTTTTCTAGTGAGGACGGGAACGAAGATGGCATATTTCCCATATGATTATTGAAACGATTACCGCTATATCGTTCTTTCCTGTTGCGCTCGCGTCGCACAATTCGATGCAGTAAGTGAAAAGTAAAGTTTCCACCCTATATAAGTCTCACTTATTTTTTCGAAAATATGCAGGTTTCCTCGCGATGTTTTCCGCCAACGAGGAGCACTTAAAATTGACCATTTCAGTAGCGGCAGCACCGGAATTTGAACACAGGTTACTCGATATACTCAGCTATAGGTAATATTGAAATAAAAGCGAGCGCGCGGACACGCCTATCACGGCTCTATCCCTTACAATATGATATCCTTCTTCTAGTCGCCGCTTAACTGTTTTAACTAAAGTATAGCGAAGGTGAAATATGAATATTAGCATTGGCTAACTGTGATTGTTCGAAACGTGTAAACATAGAGCTAGATGCTCTTCCGTCGTTCAAATCCCCCATATCGGAGTAGTTTAAGCCTTGTTGTTTTTCAACAGAAGTCTGTTTTAATATTTTGTATTGTTTCATATAATATCATTTAACAATTTTGCATTTAAAATTAAACTGTAATTGTTAAACTATTCAACATTCTATTTTAAACGACGGTCATAAATAACATTTTTAAAACGCTTATCAAATTACCTTCACAAATTGTTCCTCCGGGACGTTGCCTGGTTCCTTCTTGGCATTTTTTCTTCGCTAGCCTGTATGTAAAAATCCAAACATAAATTTTCAAACATAAACATATTTTAGTTAAACTAAAAGGTGTATACATGTATTATGATGTACCATGAAGTTTACAATAAATTTTTCGTTCAGTTTCCATTCAAACAATATAGTTGTAAAAGTGTGTTATGGAAAAGATTTTCTAACTTCATTTGCCCTAACCAAAGCTATATCAAAATAAAGCCTTATATTTATGCAAACGCAACTCATTACTAGCAAAGTTAAAGTAAGTAAGCTATTAAGTGAAGCAAGGAGTGTCCAGATTTCAATTCAGTACACTCGAGCAAACGGAGATTTGATGGTTTCAGCACCAATGAAATTGTTCATTGCAATTTTAATTTACCAGATGCTCATCGGTGAAGTAAACATAAGAGGAAACTTGCACATTTTGGAAATATTTGTGAAAATATTAATATTTCGAAAAAATGTGTAATCGCGTAGAGTGTAGACTATACTCCCTAATACTCACAGAGTACAGAGAAGGTATTTGCCCAGCAGTAGAAGATTATTGGATGCTAATTTACTTTACTCAGCTGTTCGTTTGCTACAATATCTTTCAATCTTTTGTACGGGATACTTTACTGTGGGAGAGTGCTGATCTTGGACTTGCAATTGTACGCTCCGGGTAGATTGACGCACACCTCGTTCCGCCTGCACACCTCTGAACTCTCTTCGCACTCGTCGATGTCTATTAAACGAAAAAGGAAAATCAAATAATGGGATAATCCGGAGACTTTATGTATCTGTTAATCTAAACAAAATTTGCTCTAAACGCGTAGATAAATGCATACACTAATATACATACAAATATCCATACCTACAACAATACATACATATAAATTCCTGCGTTCGTTTTACCCGTCTGTCCCAGAAAAGGAGGGTTAGATTCATCTAAATTTTCACAATAACCTATTTAGTATCAACATTCAAATGATTTTAATGTAGTCTGCTTTTCACTTTTTAAGTGCTTTATATATCTCGTTTACTTCCATGTATAGAGTTCCCACTTTTCTAAGGGAACTCTTTGCAACGCCTCAGTAAAATGACGATGGGAAGAGGTTAGAGGAGAGGTTAGAGGTTAGAGGAGGGAGGGAGAGGGAGCTAGCAGACGATTCGCCTGATGTTAAATCAGGCTAATCCGTCTGGTAGCTTGTCAACTTTACATACAAAAAATTATTATTGTATTTCTGTTCCTCGTGTACCTTCGCACACTCCTGTGGCCGCGTTGACCTTGAAGCCTGGCGCGCACCGTTTCGACACGTGGTCCTGGCAGAAGTAGCTGCCGTGCGTGTTGATGCAGTGCTGCGAGAGCCGCTGGCAGTCGTCCAAACGCTCGTCACACTCGTCGATGTCTGGTCGGAAACTAATAATTTAGCAGCCTTCCGCGCAACGACCGAATCAGATTCTTATTACAATAGTCCTTTTTTTATGTAAATGCGTTCAAAAAAAATTCAACAAAAAAGGTAATAACTACAAAAACGTTAAACAATTTTAAGAAAGCAGTTAATGCCACTCTGCTTGAAAAAGCCTAATATACTCAGGATGCGGCAAGCTCCTTTATCTGTCTCGTTTTTGGACAAAAATTTATTGGCGTAAAGATTATTTGGCGTGAAATGTCGACGCAGGATAATTCAATAGTACCACATCCAAATTCTATAACAACTTCTAAGGTAAATTTTAACCGTGTAACTTTCAAACATGTAATGCGCTATACTTAAAAAATAATTTTCGTGTACCTATTATATAACTCACAACGTTATTTTGTAAAATATCTAGCTCAATTTCCAACTTACGCACCTTGACTTCATAATGCTTACCATCTAAAATCGTCATAATTATATACTGAATGTTTACAGGTACAAGCATATGGCTTTGTTTGTAATCTGAATTGTGTACTGTAAGTATTGTGTACTGTAAGTACAGTAAAGATTGTGTAAAAAATACCTCACTAAAGCCAACATCATATTCAAATTCAAATCATTTATTCATCGAAATAAGAAATATCATTACTTCATTTATCGATAGTAATTTTTTAAATCTACCACCGTTTCGTAATGAGGTTCCTCTAACGGAGAAGAAACAGGCGAAAGAAACTCCGTAGATATCCTCTTTTTTGTCATTTTTTTTTCTCAACAAATACATTATTTTTTTTTTAGAAACAGCTTAGGAACGATCATCTCATTCCCAGGGGTTATTATCGTTAATGTATTAATTTATATTGTAATAACCCTTTTTTAAAAGTTTTTCTTTAATAAAGTTCTTAAACCTGTAAATAGATAGGCTTTGCACATTAACTGGGATTTTGTTGTAGAAAGTACTTACTACTACGAGGAGCTGCTTGATAAGCTAGAACGTATTCAAAATGTTTGCATAAGATTCATATTTGGCTTGCGCAAATATGATCATATCACACATTTCCGTGCTAAGCTCAAGTGGCTGCCTATTCGTCATCGCCGGAATTCTCACATACTTTATCTTGTTTACAACATTCTGTTTAATCCCTCTTATCCCACCTATCTAAAGGAACGTTTCCAATTTCTTTGTGATTCCCACTCTAAGTCTCTGAGATCATCAGAAAACTTGGAGCTGAAAATTCCTACGCACAAAACAAAGTTCATGAGTAGGTCATTTATGGTGCAAGGGGCGCGACTCTGGAATGACTTACCACTAGAAGTAAGGCGTGCTCAGTCATTAAATATTTTCAAGAATCTTGTAAAAAATCATTACTTATCTCTATAATGTTATTCCCTAACAATGATATATGTATTCGTATATATGGCATGTATATATTTATATGTATGTATTGATGTGTATATGTATGTATATGTGTATTTGTATGTATATATTTTGTTAGCCTTTTGTATATACATTTATTTATTTACTTACATATTTATAAATATCTTATTATTATGAATTATGATTGTAGATAAGTATTTTTCTTTTTCATTCATTTAGTTAACCCACACCTTTATTCCTAAATTATTTCTTTTTCAATCCATCCAAAGGTTGCCTGGAAGAAATTACTCTTAGTAATAAGGCCGCCCATTGTACCCATTACTTCTACATTAAGTTTTAATTTTTGTTTGTTTTATTTTTGGTGTGCAATAAAGTATATTCATACATTCATTCATCGGCTGCATGCCCCCATAGCAAAATACCGTATGACATTATGATATGGAAATAACTAAAATAAACGATTCTAGCTGTATTTACATCAGACAGACATCTTATTTTCCTTATAGCAACATGCTGCAGAACTTAGTCTGCTAGCAAGTTTGGATATATGGGGGCCCCATTGAAGCTTTGAATCAAGAGTTATTCCTAGAAAAACAGTGGTATCCACAAGGCCTAACTCGTCCCCATTTATAAGTACATTGGCACCACCCAAGTGTTTAACATTAGGTGTCGAAAATTTTATACATTTAGTTTTATTGCCATTTAACAGTAAATTATTAGCAGCATTTTTAGCATTATTAGCATTTAAACCAGTGAACTATTTCTGACATAGCATGATTTACCTCGTCAAGTGTTACAATACGTCGCTTAATGTTAAAGATTAATGAAGTATCATCGGCAAACAACACTATGTCATGTTTTTTTCCTACTAAGTAGGGTAAATCATTAATATAAACGAGAAAAAGGAATGGTCCGAGAATATAATGCGTACCAACTATCTGTGAGACATGCAAATAGTATTCCCGTGTGGGGATCGAATTCACGACCACCGATGCCGAAGCCAACACCAAACACCACGGAGTCATCGATCGAATAAATAAAGAGTATCTAAAATGTTGCTCAGCAACCCATGACGTTAAAAGGAAGAACGATCTTTGTTACCCAGTTTAAAGGCGAATAAAGATCATTATTATAAAATCAACGTACCGATGCATTCGTCGTCAGGTCCCGCTCGGAACCCTGGGGGGCATATGTCGCTCTTCGCGGTGGGGACGGTCACCGCTTCCGTGGTGGCCCCTGGGAGAGCCTCTTCGAAGGGCTTGCCCGCCTTGCCAGCGCATTTGTAGCCTCCGATAGTATTTTCGCAGAGGTATTTGGGGCATGGCGGCCGAGGCAGCTGGCACTCGTTTATATCTGGAAATTTAATAATGTTTTTAAACATTATTAATTTCACGGAAAGGGTTTTTTTATGTGAAAAGTTGGCGAGCAGGCGGTTCACCTGATGTTAGGTGCATACCGCCGTCCTTGGACATGTTCTAAACCCGAGGATTACAAATGCGTTTACAACCTTTTGAAAATTGGACTTCCATTGTTCCATTCTTAGTATAACGAGTATCTGTATCACATTTGCATATTAGAAAAATATAATAAAATATAAGTCTTTACGAAAAGATGAAAGCTATTAGCAGACTTGACGTCTATTAAATTAAAACCTAAAATTTTCGTAAATGGTTGTGTCCTTTCCACTAAGGTGTTTAATGAGTTTTCATAAGGTTTACAGTATTAAATATATTTAAAGGGAACATAGGTAAGCCGTTGGTTTCGACAGTGGGCACTGTGGATTTGATTCCCACACCGGACAATTATTTGTTAGGCCCACAGATAATTGTTCCCGATCTGGGTATTTACTCCCAAGGAGTGTCGTAAAAAACCTAGGAAAAACCATTTACAACATGATTCACATGTAGTGCAGAACTTACCAAGATGTGATAAGGACAGGGGGATGATGACGTAGATCCTTACCATCGCATACTTGATTTATGACGTTCCTCTTGAAGCCAGGTGGGCAGCTGAGGCTAACGTCCCGTTTCTTAATCGGCACGCATTTGTAAGAGCCAACAGTGTTGTGACACACCGTGTCTTCTTCCGTGCACAAGTCGTCCAATGCCTCCCTGCATTCGTTTATATCTACAAAAGATATATAATACTAAAACATCAACCATGCTAGTCGGACTCGCGCACGAAGGTTTCCGTACCATTATATATAAAAAACGGCAAAATAAATCATGTCTGTTGTATGGGAGCCAAACTTAAATATTTTTTTCTGTTTTTTGGTATTTGTTGTTATAGTCACACATAAAATATATACCAAATATATAATATATATATTTGTTATATACTTCATTTTTGAAAATTTCAACTGTCTAACTATAACGGTCCATGAGATACAAGCCTGGTGACAGACGGACAGACAGACAGACAGTTTAGTCTTAGTAATAGGGTCCCGTTTTTCCTTTTGCTTACGGAACCCTAAAAACTATAAGGAAGCGAAAGAGATGATACGAGTTTGCGAACCACCAAAGCACATTAGTGTGCGAAAGCTCAATGGTCTCTGCTAAAGATCGATTGAGATTATGGGGTTGTTCAAGGTTCAAATAATTCCATTTTATTACTGCGGACTCAGACTTACTGGTACTTGTCATTTGCCAAATATAGAGGTATTTATTTTTAATATCATACAAACGTTCTAATTCTATTATATTCCATTAAACAAATCACGAACTGCGTTGAACATACAGAGAAACTGTAAATAAGACACAATGATGATCGAAGCTGGATGGAATACTATGAAAAGGACAGATGTAGTTATACTTATTATATACAGTTTATCCAACTGTCAAAATAAATTTTTCAGAGAGTAACGATTACAAAACATATATTTTTGGTTGTTAATAATCAATACGCGTCAACAAACAACTAAAAATAGAAGCGCTTTAACGTCAAGTATCCATATGCAACAGCGTTTGCACGTGCTCAATACTAATACATTCTGATCAGGTATACCGAGTAATGAAGACACCAAGGGCACTGGAACTCGTCATTTAAGTACCAAACCCAATTTAAAAGTCTAATGCGATGTGAAGTTACTGAATGAGTCACAAAACGTGGGTATGGTGTTGGTGTTCTGTTCGTTGTAGGGTTCAACAAAGCGCGGCTTGTTACAAGAATAAATTCCCGAGGGCATATTAAACCCAAACCCAAAGCCACGAATACGTCCCAATTGGGAAAGTTTTCTTAGCAAATAAAGTAGTAGTAATAAATATAAAACAAGTTTAATTCGGGGACGAGAAAGACGGATGCACGTCGAGATTTAAGGCTAAAGTGACAAGCACTTGCTGTCCTCTTCTTTCTTATTGGTATCGGTGTGGTCCTACCACATTTAACTGTGATAGGACCACACCGTGGTGTTCACTGCTGCTCGAATGAGCAGGTCAGTCCGGGTAAGTACCACGAACTCACAGAAGACCGACGTAAAGTAGAAGTGTCACTTCTGCGTTTCTTCTGGTAAGTGAGGTAGCTAGGGCCCCACTTTATTCAAAGGTCGCAACGCTTCTGCAATCCTACGGGTGTTGCCAATGGCCATGGGCAGCATTGTCACCTAACATCAGGTGAACCGCCAGCTCGTTTGCCACTTTTTCACATAAAAATAAAAAAAATATTTCTTTTATTACGCTATTCGTTATATACCATTCGAACAAAACGTGAAATACCTTCGACTGATGATTTTATAATAGAATAAAATATAATTACTTTATTACACACAAGGGAATACACAGAAGGAAAATACAGGAAACATAGGCGACCTTACTTGTAATGTAGCAATTTCTTCCTTTTTCTATATATCTATAGTATAAAATATCATTACTTCACAATTATTGTTTCGGTTATGTCGCCCTGTCGATTATCAATATTTGTAATACGAAAAATGCGCACATACCTATTGTAAACAATTATCAAGGTACTTTGATTTCAATAAAAAATTTTCAATGTTTCTACTACCTTTGCAACTTGTATTGTCTGCCTGTAGTCTAAAGCCCACTCTGCAAATACATCTCACTTTGCCATCGTCATCTTTGCATTCGTGTTCACAAGAGTCCTTTTTACACTTCTCCCTCTGCACCTCCTTTCTCTTCTCCGTAGTTGTTTCGACCTTCTCAGTCGTAGTCTGCGTTGTGGTCTCCGGCTCTTTAGCTGCTTCCTGTAGAAAAATCCAGAAGCTTTTAATGGTTTGTTTTAAGGGTTCCGATTTAGTACTTTTTTTGAACTTTAAACTTTATACAACTTATTGGAATCAGCATTTGTAAATGTGAGTTACCGCACCAAACCTTGAACTAATTTATGCGGGTTTTGATTGTCGATTCCTTAAAATTCAAACCAAAAAACCTCGTAAGGGAACCCGTATATTTTCTTAATAATAACCAAAAAAAAAGAAGCTATGAGATGTCTGCCAATCCGCAGTGGGGTCACTATGTCCAACTGTGGGACATATATACGTAGGCTGTTACTTTGATTTGTTATTTATTGTGTTTTCGATTCATTGATTGTACAAAGTAACAATTTTTACTTTGTACAATCATTGAATCGAAAACACATAAACTTAGCATCAATAAACTAAACTTAAATACTTATTTTATCGTGCTTTTAACAATAGAGCGATAGTATACCGTGTCATTTAAAGCCGGATATTCGATGTTAATCCTACTGGGGTACGGTTTCCGAATATGTAGTTTTCTAAGTCAGCTATTCTAAATCTATTTTTAGTTTTATATTACAATTGGGTAAAAGGAGAATTGGAACTTTATCTGTGCTGGAATTGTTTATTAATTATTATTAATTGACTTAATTTTCTTTCCCTATCAAAACAATCACAATATAATGTTACAGCAATCCCTAATATGTTATGTACTCACAATACAGCATTGGTGAAAGGCATTCTTCCGCAGCGTGGTCTGCGGGCTCATTCCATCTTCAGCTGGGCTTCCACAACCATCTTTTCCCTGGAGCTTACCATACAATCTCCCGACGGAGCATTCGTCGCAGCACGTCTTAAACGATTGATTTCTCTTTTAGAATAAAGCAGTAGTGTCCGTGGGCGCGTTTCAATTCAGTATACTCGAGCTAATTGAATTCAATCCCCGGTGCCAAGCACCAATTAAATTATTTATAACAATTAATAATGCATTTTAAGTGCTGATTTATCACGTGCTAGGTGGTAAATATATTTCGACGATATGTAAAGTCTGCCAATCCGCAGTTGGTCGCGTGATGGACTATGCCCTAAGCCTCTGTACAAAGGCGTTTGCCCACCAGTGGGACATACATAGGCTGTTACTGTTTATGAAATAGTAAGCTTTTATCCGAAAGTATTACAAAATAAGTAGCCTCCGACGTCTCCATCACCCAGGCGAACGTATGAAGGCATATAGTAGACTCGATAATAACTCAGATGAGTATAGATAGCTTCTTTGCACCAAAGTCTTGCATCACGGAGGGCCGTATCAAGCCCGTGGGTTCTGGCTAGCCCACGAGTTCTGCGTTCGATAAAGCTTTAACAGTCTACGGGCTCAAAGCAAAAACATGTTTATCGCTCAAGTAGTGGGTATCGAACCCACATGAGCTGGCGTAGAAAACGGGCTTACTATCCACTTCACCATCTGTCATCGTATGACCCGATTGGACTATAATATAAATAGACATCTTAAAATGGATAGAAACTGATAAAAGTCAATAAAGTTACCTTTCCAATGTCGGTTTTAGGGAGAGCGCATTGCTCGTTTACCGCCATTTTCATGCCAGCGGTACAATCGTCCTTTTCTCTGAAAATAAAACAAATTATACTATTGCTATTGCATATGATTTTCAAAGACAATCTTATGCGTTATGATTTAAAAAAGAACATCATATATATATACTAAGCATTTTTCCAGCAAAATTTATAATATTGTTTTTTTTATTTCCTGAATTTAACTAAATGAAGTTAAGCATTTAGATAGCAAATTAGGGATATGATCAAAAGTACCATTTACCCATACTGCTTTCGATTCTTATTGTATACATTGATAATCTGGGAAGGAAGTTAAAAATGTGCATTACTTTAATTTGATATTGTATAAACAGAAAAACGGTTAAAATTTATTAGTAATTGTATTTGAATAAAATTCACCCTTGAAGAGTACGAATGGATGTATCGTTTGCATGTGAATATTATTCCAAGACGTAAGCGGATGAAATAGCAATAAAAATGTTCATACCATATTACAAGAGATTGTATAACGCTTTCAAAAATATGTTATTCAAATTCGAATTGAATTACGATCACTTTAACTCAAAATACTACGGTTATAATTACCCGAATAGCTTCTCACAACAGCTCTTGGCTGATGTGCGACATATGTCCTTTGAGTCCTCGTCCACATCTTCTGGGAGGCTGACGGCTGAGCAGGATTGTTTCGACGCCATGGCTGTTGCTTGGTACTCCCCGTGAGTGCAGCATGACTCCGACACCTCCGTTGTCTCCTCCGATGTGACGCCTAAGCACAAAATGGTATTTTATTACCGACTAGCTTCTGCCCTCGACTACGGCTGCGTAGAATACGCTGAAGGCGTAACATTCAGACAGAAAGACGGATATACATAAAAATATGTATATAAATTATAGTCTATGTCTTATTCTGATGTATAAGCTATATTATTGTAAAGTTTAATTAAAATCCATTCAGTAGTATATGCGTGAAAGAGTAACAAACATCCATCCATACATACAAAATTTTGCGTTTATAATATTAATAAGGATAATTCTTAACACAGGTTGTAATATAATCTTTTTTCTAGACTTTTTTAACTTTTTATAGACTATGAGAAATGTTCATAATAATAAAATCGACATAAAATATACCTTGGATTACACATCAATAATTGAATTAGAACTTGTTTTATAGTTTATAACTATCTATGGCCATTAAAAAATATCTAAAGTATTTCCAAAAATACAATTTATTCAATTCCATTTTGCAGTATGAAGAAAATAAAAACTTTGTAAAAGTTTATATATATGAATATAACGTGCCATAAACATGTATATTATACATGTCATCGAAATAAGTATTGCTCAAAAATATTTTCTCTACACAGTTTGATATAGGAGTGCATATTTTTAGGTAGTCACCAATGCTGTATTTGAGTATAATTACTTAATAGGTCAAGTGCCGCTAGATTTCCACCACGGCCTCATTATACAGAAAATCCAAACAAGTGAGTGTAGTGTTACTCGACCCATGAGGTTTCCGTAGAATTTTGATAATCTTCAATAACTTTTAGAATTAACAATGTTCCGATTGTGAAAACAACAACTTTAATATCTATCATCTTTTTAAAGATAAAATAGAGTACAATAAAATCGTTTTAGTACAAAATACCAGTCACCAAGAGACTTGCAAGTATAAAATTGGTAAGAGTTTATTCCCTCACATATTGGCCCTCTATATTATGTGAAAATAATTTTTAAGCCAACGGTATCACTACATAGTATAAAACAAAGTCATCCCGCTGTCTCCCTACGTATGCTTAGATCTTTAAAACTACGCAACGGATCTTGATGCGGTTTTTTTATTAGATAGAGTGATTCAAGAAGAAGGTTTATATGTATAATACATTGCACCCGTGCGAAGCCGGGGCGGGTTGCTAGTAATATATAACGGTAAAAATAACGAGGAGACTTAAGTTTGGTAAGAGTTTATTCCCTCACATCTTGGCCTTCTATATTATGTGGAAAAACTCTTTTAATTCAACGGTATAACATATATCGGTACAATATATTTTCATGTGACATAAATGGCTAAATCTATCGATGGTATTGATTTAAGAGCTTAATTATACACAGCCAAGGGACCGGAGACCTTAAAATGTGACATAAATTCCTATCGGATATGTCCATCCATTTTTAGCAAAAAGAGATTTTTATACGCAATGTTGGCTAGAGAACGGCGGTTCAACTGATGATGTGATAACTGCCGGTCATGGACATCTTCAACACTTTTTAAATAAATAAAAGTGCGAGTCGGACTCGCGAACGAAGGGTTCCGTGCCATTATTTATTTAATTAATTTTTAAAAAGTCATAAATAAATAAATTATCTATAAAAGCGGCAAACAAATCATGTCGTTATATGGTGGTCCCACTTAAACATTTTTTTCTGTTTTTTAGTATTGTTTGTTATAGCGGCAACAGCATCTGTGAAAATTTCAAATGTCTTACCATCGCGACCTTCATTCATATTCATGAGATACACAGCCTTGTGATAAACGGACAGGCAGACAGACAGAGGAGTCTTAGTAATAGGGTCCTGTTTTACCCTTTGGGTACACGGATATAACCGGGGTACCCTAAAAAGGTGACCCCGGTTATATCCCTCACCAAATGAAACGCGAAAGTAGAATAAACTTCTACTTTACGGAGCTCTTCTGTAAGTTCGATGCTGGTACATCGGATAAGCCTGCCAAATCATGCAACTGCATACAGCTTCTAAGCTCTTGCATGATTTGGCATTTGAAAAAAAGAAAACTATATCGTCGGACAAAAAAGATTAGGATTTTGGATATTGAGGTATAAAAATCATGATATTTCTCATTAAGAATTAGAATATTTTATTAATTTATATGTCTAAGTGATATTACTGCTAGGTAAGTGAAGTGAAATATATGAAGAATATGTTATAATGAAAATTTTTAATTTGTCCTCGCTTTATATTTTTATTATTTATTACATTTTATTTATGTTTAAGTGAGTTAACAAGAATGTTATGTACATATTGCAATAATCGTATTTATTTTAATATTATTGTATTTATAAATGTACGTATTTATGTATTTGTATTAGTATTTTTATTTACCTTTAAACCTACTTCTTTATCTTTGCACCCTGCAATAGGATGGCTGGTAGAGAATTCCTCAGCCGAGATTTGTGTAAATGTTAAATAATACTTCCGTGACGTTAAGAATTCGTTTCGTAACAACGACGTAACGATGATTAGGACTCTACTGATCTTTGAAGATCGCTATGACGTCACTTGTAACATCTCCCAGTGAATGAAACATTGGTACGACGAAACGTCCACTCGTTAGACGAAATATGCGGATCGTAGGTGATCCGGCGATTTGGTCAATCTAGTAAATGAACCTTGCAAATAACTCCCAGACGCGTCCTCTCTGTATCGTTTCGTTTTTCACCTGACCGCATAATTTGAAAGGCGATCTTTATATCGTCAATAGATACAAGTTTTAAAGTGATGAAAAGTTACGTTTTTTTTTATAATTACTATATTTAAATTTCCGGATAGGAATTCGTTTTTGCGGTAAAACTTCTCTAGGCACGCATGACTTGGGAAGTATACTGATAAATGCGTTACGAAAAATGTGATCTAGCGAGGCGAAAGGAACGGTTAGGTACGCGAATGCTGATTTCTTGATTATTAATTTATCGATGAGAACCCATGATAAATTTAAATATTTGTAGAAAATTAATATGTGTGTATATACATGTATGTATTATACATATACATGTATATATTATACATATATACGTATAATATATACATGTATATACATTTAGTAAATCTAGTAAATGAACCTTGGAAATAACTCCCAGACGCATCCGCTCTGTACCGTTTCATTTTTACATGACCGCATAATATTAAGAGGCAACCTTTCTATCGTCAATAGATGAAGTTATAAAGTAATAAAAATTTAAGTTTTTTTGATAATTACTATATTTAATTTTTCGGATCGAAATTAGCTTTTACTCTTCTTGGGAAACCAACCCTGATACGCACCGTATCAACTTGTCGGCAAGTGAAATTTCATCACCCTAGTAAAGTACCTCCTCTCTACAGAGGACACCACCATTTTAAAGCATAGTCCACCACGGAAATCGAAGCGGAGTGGGAACTGCACATAGTTTCGAAATATATCTGTTTTATGTGTGGAAGTGGCAAGCTAGCTGGCGGTTCACCTCATGTTGCACACGGAACGAAAAAAAAAACAAACATATCGCTCTTAAGTTAAAACTGCTTCTAAATTTAAAATATTTCTTTCCAAATTAGAATACAAGCCTGTGCTAAACTTTGCACTTTGCCGTAAATATCTGTCGACCTTTTAAAACGCGAACAAAACCCCCATTGTTTTATGTCAGTTATTTCGCCAAGATCGCGTAACAGTTATTATTATCCAAATTATTATAACAACAGTTTCCATGTTCAGTGCCCTCTACAGTATTTAAAATAGAAACAGCGTGAAACATTGAAAATTATTTGTAGAATCTAAAGGACATAAGGGTATATTTAAAGGTTAGTTATTTTTTTTCATTGATAGCGGAATATTTTTATATCGATTTGTAAAAGAGATATTCTAAGTAATAAAGCAGCTTTGAACTATTTTTTATAATATTCATATGACCGCTCTTCTGAAAATACGTAAGCGGTGTGAGATTCTTTCAAAAGTCGATTGTGCTCTACTCGAAATTTTTATGTAACTCGAATGCTGACGTGGCAAAACTTAAAAGTAATTAACACGATTGTGGACCGATACAGAGCGTGGAAAAAGTTGATTAATTAAAAACGGAAACTGTAACGGTAGAAAAGTTCCCTCTTGAATATAATGAGAGTGCCTTGTTTCGTTTCGCAACTATGGTAAACCAAGCACTGTATAAACGAAAGCTTTTATTTAACTTATTTCAAAAATGTAAGAATAAAATCACCTTTTTTTAAATTTAAAATGCGCTGTTTTCAGATTATTAGTGATTAAAATTAATTATGACTAAATAGGGTGTCATTTGGGGTTTTGATTAAAATATCGTTGCGAATATGATTTTTACATTTAAGTTTTCTTTTGTAAAACTTAGTTCTGTAAGAGAGATCGATTTGAATTCCAAACTAGATGTCTAAAATTTTGAAGAACTCAACTTAATATTTAATACGATTGTTAATAAGCTTTTGTAAAACTAAGGTTAAGCTTTGATTACTATTCCAAATGCAAAAGGAATGTATGATAGTTATTTCTTGATGTAGGAACAATATTTTTTATTCAATTATTCACATTATAAGAAGAATATCCCAATAGCAACTAATACGTACTAGAAAAATAACTTTCTAATTCATTTAACCCATAAATCTCAATTTTATCAGTAAATTTACACATCACTTAGAAATTCGAGACGCTTAGAAATTCTCCAAGCTTCGTGATGTTTCGAAGGAACTCGATAATCTCATTGACCTCCGTCACAGATGCAACAGCGAAAACAAAGATAGCGGGCTCCTAAACTAAAACACGACATCATAAGCAGCTTATAAAGATAAGTTTAATTATATGCGCGAGTTCACGGAAATTGCTGTGGTAGAACAACAACATATCCCGCTACTAAAACAGCCATCTCAGGGCCGAATTAGGAGAGGGCAACCGGGGCAACAGCCCCAGGGCCTCCACAAAAGAGGGGACAACCAGAGACTTCGGAAAAAAAAAAATTCAGACTAGTACCTAAA